AAATGTATTTATTGTATTTATACATGCATTTAAGTTGTATCCTCTGTCTCTCTATATGTTGTATTTTTACCTTTCTTTATTTTTATATTTTTTGAGATGTCAGACGATTGTATTTATTGTATTAATATGTGCATTTAGGTTGTATTTATAGAAGAATAAATACAAGCTAAATTAGAATAAACGGATACAACCTAAATGCATGTATTAATACAATAAATACAGCCGTCTGACATCTAAAATAATATAAAAGTACAAAGAGAGAGGTGAAAATATAACATACAGTGAGATATAGGATACAACCTAAATGCATGTATGAATACAACAAATACAGTTGTCTAATACTTCAAAAAATATAGAAATACAAATAGAGAAGGGTAGAAATACAAATACAGAAAGAGGTGAAAACAGTATATAAAGAGAGAGAGAGAGAGAGAGAGAAAGAGAGAGAATAAGAGAGATATGAAAGATTATGTATTAACCCTTGCGTGATTTTCGATAATTTGCCACTTTAAAAAAATGATATCCCATATTTAACATCTGACAGACAAAAGGCACTCGAATTGAGTTGCTGCAACACCAGACAGTTTTCTAGTGGCTATGTGGCATTCACATGTTTCCATTAAGTTTTACATGGTAAAGATATGTTATGATCTATATTTATGTATTCCTAGTTATCTATCTAGAAAAGAACACCAGAAATCTAACTCATGGTATTTTTCTGTTGGATCAATTGACTTGCTGCAGTCAATTCCTTCAGAGTGGGCAAGGAAACATCTCCCCAGAAGGAACCTAGATGTGACGCTTCGGGTTATAGAGAACACGTGGCAGGTAGAGTTCATTCACACATATCATGGTGGTGCACTAACTGGTCGTGGTTGGAGAAATTTTGTTCTGGACAATTTCTTTGAAAAATTTGAAGTATGTGTGTTCAACCTTGTCAGTGGAGAAGATCCAGCCAAAATCTTGGATGTCAGCATATTCAGAGTTTAATCAGAGCTGTTGAATAGGTCATCCCACCATACCGAGAAACATCACCATCCTCGTCAAGAGTTGGAAAGCCAAACAAATTTATGAGGAAAGATGCAATGTAGGAACTGCATGATGGATTTGTCTTTTTGGGTGGAGGGTTATGTTTTAGCTGTTAAATAGGTTCAGGAGATGGATGGCTTGATGATGGAACATGTCAACCTCTTTTGTTCCTTCTCTCTTTTAAGTATACTACTATCGGCTGGGAAATCTTGAATTTGTTGTAGACCAAAGTTTTGATGTCTTTTACTGTGATACTGGATTTGTTGGATTATTTTTTAGTTCAGCAAAGTTGTCTTATCCTAATGTGTCCTTGCTAAAATGTTTTGAATATGATTATCTTTCACAAGTTGATGTATAACCGGGAAGGTTTTGCTAATGGTATATATTGGCAGAAGAAGTGCTCAAATATGATTCAGAGCAAACCATTTGGCCAATCCAATGTAAAGTCCTTTGTTGCATTTATCTGTAGGACCTATTTTTGCCTCAGTGTGCAGAATAGTCCTACACTCTTTGCCTTCACCTCTTTGTTTCAGCTGTATGAATACCAAGCCTTTGATGACACCGGTTTTTCTTCGGTCTTTGATCAGATCTTTTTAATTGTTGCATCACACACTTTTTTTCGTAAATGATATAGATAACGGCAATTATATATGTATCCAACTTTAATAAAAAATATCTGAAGTTAAACCTTATCAAGGTCATAATAATTGCAAAAGGCGCAATTTCACTAAAAATATTTGAAGTTAGACCTTATCAAGATCATAATTATGAAGATCATAGCTCCAGTTCAAAATGTCTAAAGTTTGGTCTTGTTGAGTCCACTAGTTCAATAAAAAGTGTATCAAGTCTACGACTTCACTAAAAAATATCTGAAGTTGACTTCGGGAAGCCATAACAAAGTTCAGGCAAAAATATCGAATATTTGATCTTCACAGGGCCACACTTCATATAATTACATCTGACAGACATGAATTATCGAATGCGCACATCTAAAATCGTGTCAAAAGAGGGAAATTTGCAATTTTTTTAACATCAGATATAAGTCAAATGGAGGCCCTAAAAGTTGGTATTTGTGTACTTCTCCTTCTGTCAAACAATGTCATTCAGACGGATTCCTTTATTTCGTAGTGATCTTTAATCTTTTACTCTCAAATTTGATGGTCTTTAAATTTTGTTTATCAACATTTTAAGTAAAAAATAAGTGGCCAAAAATATCCTTGACACCAAATTAACAAACAATTTTTGCTCGGCATAAATTTATATTTTCATCGTAATATAACACAAGTTATGTCTTAAAGAGCATGACAAGTTATGCCGCTTAATACCTACAGAACTAATGCCGATAAAGACAAAAGTTCAGTTTAGAATCTACAAGTTATGTCGTAAGAAAATATAACTTATGCCAATAGAGGCAAAACTTCAATTTCTGAACCCACAAGTTATGCCACAAAAGACATAACTTAATTCATACAAAACTTATATATGTCACTTAATCCTGCAGAACTTATGCTGATAGAGGCAAAAGTTCAATTCAGGACCCCCAAGTTATGCCATAAAAGACATAACTTAATTGTCCCTAGCAAAATTAGGTCATAGATAAAGATGATTTGATCAATAAATTTTCATTAAATAAGCATTGACAAAAATTAAAAATAATTATATTTGAGTGCAAAAATTAAAGACCACTCTGAAATAGTTTCAAGAGGATCCTTGCCAAAAAAAAAAAAAAAAAGAAAGAAAATGCAGATCCCATGTGAAAGTAGTAAGTGGCCCAATAACACATAAAAAGCCCATCTCAGCATATGCATATCCCATGATTTTTCCCGTGCTGGATGAAGAAGAAAAAGATGTTGGGGATCTCTCTGCTGAGAAGCTGAAGAAGATGACGGTGTTCCATTTCTTCTTTAACTGCGGTATCACGCCGTCTATTTTTCCGCTACCCCTTGGTACGATTTTCTTTCTATTCTTGAACATGTGTTAGATCTCGTGCTTTAGTTTCAACTGCGATGCTATTACTGTTTTTTATTTTTTATTTTTAAAAAAAAATTGGTTCTAATTTTTATGTGGTAATGAACTGTTTTCTTAGTCATACATGATCTCTGTCATTTTCTATATACATTAGCTACTAAGTTGAATGCAATGCCCTACTTTGCTATTTTTCTCCTTATTCAGTGATGTCATTTCAGGTTTTCTGTATATCACTGGCAGCACTAGGTCTATACTGTGGCTCCGGAAAAACAAACCCAAGACTTTGATTCCTATAATTAATGAAAACCAACCAAGAGTATATAAAAGGTACATATTAATCCTACTGGGAATCTCTCTTGCTATGATATCTAACTTGTTATTTATTTATTTAAATTTTTATAATCTCCAAATAAAGTATTTTCTTCTCCGAGCTCGAAGAGTATTAGATTAAAAGTTGATACTGAATAGTTTCATTGGATACCTGCTCACGCGGTAGCAGGTATCCAATAAATATAGTGATAATTTGATTCTTTAGTAAATAGGAGACAAAATTTAATTTAATTCTTCGTTTTTACAAAATGTTTACCAAAAAAAATGAAGTAAGCTTGTGACATGTTCACTAACAATAAATCCCTTTGTAGCCAATCATTTATTAAAAAAAATTAATAAGAATTATGGACGAATGACGGGAATTGAACCCACGCATGGTGGATTCACAATCCACTGCTTTGATCCACTTGACTACATCCTCCCCCTTGCCTACTTACATTCCATTTATATATTATTTAAATTCGAAAATAAAAGATTCAAGTTCGAATATTTCTCTTCTTTCTTATNTCTTATTTCAATGATATTATTATTTCAAAGATAAGAATATAAAGTCAAAATTTGAATTTTTTTTTTGAAATTCAATAAAATAGTAACATTAGCAACAAAGGAACGAGTTATGTTTCGATAATTTTAAAGAAATAAAAAATAAAAATAGAATACTCAATCATGAATAAATGCAGACAGATACCCTCTCCTTCTTTTTCTATAATGTAAACAAAAAAGTCTTTTAAATAAAAATTGAGAAATAAAAAGAAAAAAAGAAGAAGAAAGGAGCAATAGCACCCTCTTCATGGAGCAAGAAAATGATTATTGCTCCTTTCTTTTCAAAACCTCCTATAGACTAGATTGGGATCTTATCTATTAGTAGATGGAGCTTCGATAGCAGCTAGGTCTAGAGGGAAGTTATAAGCATTACTTTCATGCATAACTTCCATACCAAGGTTAGCACGGTTAATGATATCAGCCAAGTGTTAATTACACGACCTTGACTGTCAACTACAGATTGGTTGAAACTGAAACCATTTAGGTTGAAAACCATAGTGTTGATACCTAAAGCGGTAAACCAGATACATACTAAAGGCCAAGCAGCTAGGAAGAAGTGTAACGAACGAGAGTTATTGAAACTAGCATATTGGAAGATTAATCAGCCAAAATAAGCATGAGCTGGTACGATATTCTAAGTTTCTTCCTCTTGACCGAATCTATAACCTTCATTAGTAGATTCCTTTTCTGTGCTTTCCCTGATCAAACTAGAAGTTACCAAGGAAGCATACATAGCACTGAATAGGGAGCCGCCTCTTACCCCAGCTAAGTCTGAGATATGAAATGGAAGAGGCTCATTTATGCTAATCAAATTAGTACTCGTGCAGAAGTATTTCTCCTATCGTAGAAGGTGTGAAGCAGGCGGGGTCGTTAAAGCAAAAAAGCAAAGCAAGTTCCAGGGATGCGGGTAGAGGGGGGTGCCGATTCAGTAAATAAGTTCAAGGGGCCTGCTAAAAGACATGCCACTTCAGTGTGATTTGAGTCCCAGTATGCCGATTCATCTCGTACACAAGAGGTAGAGGTAGAGAACTTATTCGGGGTGATTTGGCCTAAAATAAAAGTCCGCGTGAAATAATTAGGTGCATAGCTTGAACACTAACATTATATACAAAAATAAAAAAGATTGAAAGTAAACATTGATGGCATGATTGAAGGTTTCTTCCTTTTGAATATTGATTTTGAATAGTCGAAAGCTTACCAAGTATTATGCAAAACATTTTAGCAAGGACACATTAGGATAGGACAACTTGCTGAACTAAAAAGTAATCCAACAAATCCAGTATCACAGTAAAGACATCAAAACTATGGTCTACAGAAAATTTAAGATTTTCTGGTCGATAATAGTATATTTAAAAGAGAGAAGGAACCAAAGAGGTTGACATGTTCCACCATGAAGCCCGCTATATCCATAACCTATTTAACAGCTAAAACATAACCCTCCACCAAAAAAGACAAATCCATCATGCAGTTCCTACATTGCATTTTTCCTCATAAATTCCTACATTGCATTTTTCCTCATAAATTTGTTTGGATTCCTAACTCTTGAAGAGGATGGTGATGTTTCTCAGGATGACCTATTCGACAGCTCTGAATATGCTGACATCCAAGATTTTGGTTGGATCTTCTCCACTGACAAAGTTGAACATGCATACATCTAATTTTTCAAGGATATTTTCTAGAACAAAATTTCTCCAAACACAACCAGTTAGTGCACCACCATGATGTGTGTGAATGAAATCTGCC